CCCGAGTGAAAAGAGCCCCGTGCAAATGGGATTGGTGTCAGCCGTGAGCACGCCCAGGTGTGCAGGCACGTCGACATCCCACGTGCCCTGGCTGGCTCGTCATGGCAGCACAGACCCCTCTGCCTTGACCTGGGGCCCACAACCCCAGCACACGTACCCCGGCCCGAGGTCCAGATCCCCCCCGTGCTGGGGCACAACAGCCAGGGTCCAGGACTCCCTTCCTGCCCCCTGAGGCTGCTATTCCCTGTCCTCCCTCCTCCAGGCGTGGTCAAACCCGTGTGCCTGCCCTTCTTCGACGAGGACCTCAATCCGGGCACCCCAGTGTGGGTGACAGGCTGGGGCTACACCAGGAGGAACGGTGAGCCCCTCTGCCCCCCAGCGAAAGCTGCCGCCCCCGTGGCTGCAGCGCTGCATGGGCGTGTTTGGGGCTGGGCTGGGAAGGCCACAGCCTTCCTCCCGGGGTCCAGGAAAGCACCGCCCAGGCGCTGCGCTGAGTCTTGGGACCCTGGCCAGGTCACAGCCTGGTACAGCCTCAGGCCAGCGGGCTCTGGGGCCCGAGGGGCGTCCCCCGGCCTCCATGGCGTTCGGGGCAGGCACCAGCCCTGCTGGCCCCGAGCAGAGCAGGGCCCAGCTTACAGCTCAGGGACGAGGAAGAGGTGCCTTAGCTCAGGAGGGGCCAGGGGAGGAAGCAGCAGCAGAGACAAACCCGGGTGAGAAGTGGCGCAGCAGCACGGGCACGGCCTCGCAAGCAGAGCAAGCGCCTGCTGCCGTGGTCCCGGAGCTCCCTGCCGCCCCTTGCACCCTCCCGGGTGTGTGCAATGGCCCCGCGTGACAGGCACAGACAGGAAGCGTGGGCAGGGGCAAGCGGATAGACTGCTCCCCGCCATGCCACGGGGAAAGGGGAGGCTCTCACGGAGGGAGCGTGTGTTATGCAGGTAAGCTCTCCCCCGTGCTGCAGCAGGCAGAGATCCAGCTGATCGCCCAGAGCGTCTGCAACGCCGTCAGCGCCTACCAGGGTGAGATCACGGAGAAGATGCTCTGCGCCGGCCTGCTGCAAGGCGGCGTCGACGCCTGCCAGGTGGGCGCTTCTCCCACCTGCCCGGGGTGCCCTGTGCACGTGGCGCAGCTCGGCCCGCACAGCTCACGCTGGCCTCTGTCTCTCCAGGGGGACAGCGGTGGCCCCTTGCTGTACTACCAGGGGCGCTGGCACGTGGTGGGGATCGTCAGCTGGGGCCAAGGCTGCGGCGAAGCGAGCACCCCTGGCGTCTACACCAACGTGAAGGCCTACCTTGACTGGATCCACACCGTGCAAAGGGTCAGCCAACCGGCCTCGCCAGCCGGGCACAGCCCAGAGCCCCGTGTCCGTCCTCTGCCCGGGGGCAAGGGGAGCTGGGGCCGCGCAGGCAAGGCCCCCCGGGCCCGGGGCAGCAACACGGCGGCCGTGCTGGCTCATGGCGGGGACAGGAGCTAGGGGGCTCTTCAGAGCTGCGGGGCTGGTGCAAGCAGGCAGGGACCAGCCCTGGCCCAGGCCTATGCCACCAGCCGCAGGGGAGCGGGGGGCAGGGCCTCAGTTTCCCCCCGGCTCCGGGAGCCCGAGGCTCTGCCTGGGCTTCTACAAGCAGCCTCAGGAGGGAGAGCGGGAGGCTGGGCCGCGAGGGCCCTTGAACGGGCGCTTGAGCCAGGTGCCCTCGGCCGACGGGAGCTGAGGCAGAGAGGGAGCGAGGCGTTGGGCTGCTGGCCGGCAGGGGAGGTTTGCCCCTCTCGACTAGCCCGAGTAGATCAGTGGAGACGGGTATAGCGCAGGCTTGGGGGGCTGAAGCACTTCCCCAGGACACGAAATCACAACAGAGGAGAGACGGGGGCGAGGCAGAGAAGAGCGCGCCTGGCTGGTCAGGGGCTGGGGCGCGGGGTGCACGGGGACCCTCTCGTCCTGGGCCGCCCGGGGGGAGCCGGGGCTGCCGGGCGCAGCAAGGCGCGTGGGCCAGGAAGGGTCTGGGCCGGGGCCGGGGCCGGGG